AAAAAAAAAAAAAAAAAAAAAATATATATATATATATATTTATTTATTTATTTCTGTACTTTATATTGTATTACATATTGTATCAAAATATTAATATTAATAAAAATTGATACATTAATCCAATTTCTTTTATTTTATTTGTACAACCTTCCTGCTATTTAAGTTTTCCTGATACTAACATGCGAAACACCAGTTACCTCTTTGATTAGTCATGTTCTCCTAATCGAAAATCGACAAACGCATTCCTCAATTTCCAGGATTTGTATCAGGAACACAGGATGTACGAGGAGGTATTCCGAGTTCCCGCCAAAACTCCTAATACCTCTTTGATCTTCATGTTCTCCTGATACCAGATTACGAAAATCGGCAAAACTTTCTCCAATTTCGAGGATTTGTATCAGGAACATAGGATGTGCGAGGAGGTATTCCGAGTTCCCGCCAAAACTCCTGATACCTCTTTGATCTTCATGTTCTCCTGATACCAGAATGCGAAAATCGGCAAACCACAGATTTCTCCAATTTCGAGGATTTGTATCAGGAACATAGGATGTGCGAGGAGGTATTCCGAGTTCCCGCCAAAACTCCTGATACCTCTTTGATCTTCATGTTCTCCTGATACCAGATTACGAAAATCGGCAAACTTTCTCCAATTTCGAGGATTTGTATCAGGAACATAGGATGTGCGAGGAGGTATTCCGAGTTCCCGCCAAAACTCCTGATACCTCTTTGATCTTCATGTTCTCCTGATACCAGATTACGAAAATCGGCAAACTTTCTCCAATTTCGAGGATTTGTATCAGGAACATAGGATGTGCGAGGAGGTATTCCGAGTTCCCGCCAAAACTCCTGATACCTCTTTGATCTTCATGTTCTCCTGATACCAGATTACGAAAATCGGCAAACTTTCTCCAATTTCGAGGATTTGTATCAGGAACATAGGATGTGCGAGGAGGTATTCCGAGTTCCCGCCAAAACTCCTGATACCTCTTTGATCTTCATGTTCTCCTGATACCAGATTACGAAAATCGGCAAACTTTCTCCAATTTCGAGGATTTGTATCAGGAACATAGGATGTGCGAGGAGGTATTCCGAGTTCCCGCCAAAACTCCTGATACCTCTTTGATCTTCATGTTCTCCTGATACCAGATTACGAAAATCGGTAAACAACTTTCTCTAATTTCGAGGATTTGTATCAGGAACATAGGATGTGCGAGAAGGTATTCCGAGTTCCCGCCAAAACTCCTGATACCTCTTTGATCTTCATGTTCTCCTGATACCAGAATGCGAAAATCGGCAAACCACAGATTTCTCCAATTTCGAGGATTTGTACCAGGAACATAGGATGTGCGAGAAGGTATTCCGAGTTCCCGCCAAAACTCCTGATACCTCTTTGATCTTCATGTTCTCCTGATACCAGAATGCGAAAATCGGCAAACCACAGATTTCTCCAATTTCGAGGATTTGTATCAGGAACATAGGATGTGCGAGGAGGTATTCCGAGTTCCCGCCAAAACTCCTGATACCTCTTTGATCTTCATGTTCTCCTGATACCAGAATGCGAAAATCGGCAAACAACTTTCTCCAATTTCGAGGATTTGTATCAGGAACATAGGATGTGCGAGGAGGTATTCCGAGTTCCCGCCAAAACTCCTGATACCTCTTTGATCTTCATGTTCTCCTGATACCAGAATGCGAAAATCGGCAAACAACTTTCTCCAATTTCGAGGATTTGTATCAGGAACATAGGATGTGCGAGGAGGTATTCCGAGTTCCCGCCAAAACTCCTGATACCTCTTTGATCTTCATGTTCTCCTGATACCAGAATGCGAAAATCGGCAAACAACTTTCTCCAATTTCGAGGATTTGTATCAGGAACATAGGATGTGCGAGGAGGTATTCCGAGTTCCCGCCAAAACTCCTGATACCTCTTTGATCTTCATGTTCTCCTGATACCAGAATGCGAAAATCGGCAAACAACTTTCTCCAATTTCGAGGATTTGTATCAGGAACATAGGATGTGCGAGGAGGTATTCCGAGTTCCCGCCAAAACTCCTGATACCTTCTAGTTCTTCATGTTCTCCTGATAGAAATTGCGAAAATTGGATATCTTCGATGTCGTGGGTTTGTATTAGGAGAATATGATGTGCAAGAAGGTTCGAATTCTCACCAAAAATTTCTGATACCTCTTTGTGTATCATGTTCTCCTGGTACTAAAATGTGAATATTAGGGAATAGAGGAGATAAAGAATAAAAATTTTGTATTCGAGCACAAAATAATTGTATTTATTTAAGTGATATATTACAAATTACAACAATGATAAAGCTACATATTATAGTTGTAATAATAAAAATAATATAATATATATAATATTCAAATTATATATATATATATATATATATATATATATATATATATATATATATATATATATATATATTTTATGTGTATATATAAATTGTTCAGAGATGCCAGTTTCAGATTGGGGATGTTAAGTATTGTGGCGTTTTTGAAAAATCCTAACGAAATTTCTATACAAAATTCTATACAAACGAATTTTCTAACGATTCAAACGAAGTTATAGAGAATACTTTTGTAAAAAATGGTTTTTTTGTGCCTCTTCAGTTTCGAAAATGCAGTTATTTACAATCGATTCTACTGAAATTTTGTAGAGAAGTTCTTTGTAGAGAAAGCTTTAAATATAAAAAAAACATAGGTGAATCAAAATGTTTCTGTACTTATCTGCTCTGAATGATGTTTAAAGCTTATTGAAACTAATGAAACATTTACAAATGTTTTTTATAGATCAAGAATGTTTTATTATAAGATTTCATTTAATTTGCCATTCGATCCGTTTACGGTGTGGTGCAATGCACCGTCCATTTCGTTGTTTCGTGGAAAGATAATCTGGAATGGCAGTTGCATTCTTCATCTACAGACGGAACACAAATAACATAAAAGGACAGGTCGCAAAAACTGGTCGACGAACGTTATTAAGGTCGTTCGGCGAACTTATCGGGAGTGGAATGATAAACTTTACGACGAAGGGACGATACCGTCGGTGCGTTCAGGACTGAAATACGCTTTCGAGGTATCATCCGGTTGTCCGGCGCGCACGAGACAACCGGGCGACGCGTCACGTGAGCTTTACGCCCGCGTAAACAGGCTGTGTACACGCGTGGGCGTTTTTGACGCCATCAAAAAGCGTCATCTCGACCGGTCGTCATCGCTGTCGTCGTCGTCGGCTTGGTCCCCGCGACAACGACCTCCCGTGCTCTCACGGCGAACCGATGTGGCCATGATTTATGACACGCGTGAATTTCAGTCCGCACGCGGGCCTGTCGTCCAGTCCTCGCGTGCCTGCGCGCAAGAAAGCGGTCTGTCCTTACCGTAACTGCATAACTGGCTATTAAGCGACCATCCGCTATCAGATTCGATAGCCCGGCTTAAGTAGCCTGGTCGATACCGCGAGCGATACTTCTTGCGCTCCAGGCTCCGAGTTCTTCTGCTGCGGACGAACGCGGCTTTATATCGTCGAGATCCTTCCCCCGCGGAAATTATTAAACGCGTTTGTCTCAGTTATGGGCTTTAAAACAGAATGGCGGGGTAGGGAAAGGTAGAGGAAGCTCATGTAGAGACATTCTCTGACAGGTCATTGCTATTCGTGACGTTAGAATGTCAATCTTAATATACATATCGCATCTTATTATTAACTACGTTGTGCCGAATATAGCTTCTGAAGATCTCGTCTAGTCTCCTGTGGTAGAGCCGGAGGAAAGTGGAGAAAATGAAATTTGGGCTTGGCAAGAATTCGATTGAAGTCGTTACTCGTCTAGCAATCTCCGCTGCCACCCTCCTTCATGGTCATCGTCGCTACCTCGGCTTCGGGGACTTCGGCCGTGTTTATGCGAACCCTCTTCGATGCCGCGGTAGTAAAGTGAGTTATGACCGTGAATCACCGAGATGACTGCGTGTTCGCTACGACCCTCGCTGACCGCGAAATATGAGAAGAAACGCTTTCTGCAGGCACGAGGAACGAGAGCACGGCGCCGCGGATAACTGCGGCCGCGGTAACGTCAGGGAAATAACACAATATTAAAGTCGGGATATTCTCTCTCTCTCTCTGACAACATTTATGTTTTTTTTAATTTCAGTCATAACTCTTTTGATTACGATTTCTTACCATAAGTTAACCTCTTAGCTACTGTAATGGCCACTATAGTGGCTTTCGCGTATGTCATTTTTTTGAACGCCATTATAGTGACTTACTCTTATTTCTAATAAATTATAATTTATTCATCTAAAACTGTATCCTAATGTACTTGCGTAGTGAAAAACATTACCAGACACAAATCGCAGTGCTGCATTGTTTACGCGCAGTCCGCGTCGAACTTTGTCGTACAGAGATACAGCTCCGCGGAAAGTCCAGTCGTAGCTAAAAGGTTAATTAATGACTGCGTTGCAGAGGCGTGGTATTGCAATCATTAGACCGCGACGACTTCACCAGTCCCTAATACAGAACCCGGAAAGAAAAGGAAATGTACAGTCTTTGGCGCGCTTCAACAATGTCATTTGGCTAGTACCGTCGCGCCGGCAAACAATGGATGAAAAATACAGTCCTTGGCGCCCGCACAATGGCAATTTTTACAAATGCACCGTGAGTTTCTCGACCTTCGGCCTGCCTCTTGTGGTCGGCCGACCAGCCGGTCGGCTTCCCTCTTCACCGGGTTTTCTCTCACGCGAGGAGCCTCTCTTCCGAATTTTTTTCTCGTAGCCACCGCCGAGCTCACGGCTCCTTCCTGACAA